CCTCATTCGCGTCAGGCCCGTCGGGCAGCAGAGGTCGGTGAGTGTGCCGAAGCAGCGACCTACGTCAGCTCGGAGTGCGGTGAGAGAGGAGGAGAGGGAGAGGGAGGGGGGGGGGGGAATGCAGAAGATTTTGTTGGGAAATAGAGAGAGAAAGAGAGATTTGATGTTTGACGATGGAAGTGAGCATGCATGTTGTATTGTTGTTGAAGAGATGATGATGGTGACAATGGGGTCTGTTATGGTGGCGATTGTTGGCGTCTTGACTGCACATCCCTGACTTGTAGTTTCACAGTCGGACTTCCTTCGAAAGGTGGGGATTCTTTTATCCTCCGTCTTCACTGAAATCTGCACCGCTTCCTATCTCCTGTCTGCCTCCCCTCCTCCTTCCTCTCTCAACCGTTATCTCCTCCTCCTCATCGCTCTCCTCTTGCTGTCAACAGTCCAACATCTTCAGGGTAAGCACCGTCTCTCCTCTCCCTCCTCCTCACCTCCTCTCAGAACTCCAGCACCATCGACAGGCTTGCCAAGTCGAAGAAGGAGGCATGGGAGAAGGTGCGTCGGGACCAACATGCTTCCTGTTCCTCACTCACTGTACAGCGGGAGCGAGAGAAGCTGGAGCGGGAGGAGGAAGAGCATGTGCGGCCTGTGGCTGACTGACGCGTATCTGACTTGTCCTGCTCCCCTTGCAGAGCAAGAACTGCACGTTCAAGCCGACCCTCATCGCTGCCCAGACTCCTCAACTCTCTACCTCTCAGCCTCTTAGCCCCAAAGTTCCTGTCGAGGTCAGACTCCTGCACGAGGCGAACTACAAGCAGGTCGAAGAGAAGGGGGACGAAAAGAAGAAGGCAGAGGGCGTTGGAAGGAGGAGGGGGGGGGAGGGGGAGGGGGTTGGAAGGAGGAGGGGGGGGGGGGGAGGAGGGGATGTTCTTTGTAGGTTCTGAATGCCTGTGAAGATGTCGAGGCTACCGGAGAAGAGGAAGCCCGAAGAGCGAGAACTTCCGGTACTGCAGCTGCCCTCCTTCCATTCCCCTCCACCGATGATTTGAATCCCCATCATCT